TTATTGACATGTGGGCAAACACGATCCGAGGCAAGACGCGTATTGTTACACTCCACACGACTGGGTCTTGCAGGAAAATCCCAGGATTGCATACGACTTGCTGATCGAGAAAGGCGCCGATCGCGCCCCTTTCCCTCCCGCGAAATTTAAACTGGATAGGAACAGTTCAAGTGCTTTTGACGCATCGAGATAAGATCTCCCGTCCGTGATTAGCAACCCACCCGTTCGGAGCCGACGTTCTGACGGGCCACGTGATCAGCATCACCTAAGTTTCTCCCTCCACATCCCACTCATTCACGCCACGGCACCAAATCACAACCACCCCCGGACCGCTAATCCATGCCTGTCCCTTACGTTGCTTCGTCGGACCAGTTACCTTGTGCCGTCCGTCCCGCGATACGCGGCCACTGGTATCGCTAGCTATCCTTCGAAGCAACATTCTGCAGTGATCCAACGCAGTATCGCCCGGTGCGGAAAATGCGCCGTTTTTTCCATCCCAATCCACGCCATCCGCTGCACTCAGATCTACCAATTTTTGTTGTGCTGGTCCCAATGTCCCTTTCGGCGCTACTTCGCTATCCATTCTGTGTGGGATGGAATACACGGCCGAGACATAGTACGTTAAAAGATCACCATCACATAACTGAACACTGATCAACCATCTCCCTCCTCCACCCCATCACCTTTCATGAACGACCTCGCATCCTCGCCTTGTACCCCAAATACCGTCGCTCTCTGTTGCAAACCCCTTGGCATCACATTTTTCAGTCATTCTCCATCCCGTTCATACGCGCGCTCAAATCAGACAGTATTACTCGGGTTTCGGCCTTACGCCCGCCCCATCCTTCTGAGTTATCCCATTGACGCTCATCACAGGTGCGCCTTCTTCCGAGTCTCCCGCTCTTCTCTAAATCTGAAACGAAGTGGAATGGATTACAGACGACGCAGCGGTGGGAAAGTCCGCGTTCCACGTGCGACTCACCGACCAGCGCTTCCTTGTGAATCCGGATCCTACCGTGAGTCTCCATCCGTGCGTTTCGATACAAATATGCTGATAGTGTGCTCGCAGGCTGTCTGCTCGTCTATGACGTTATCTCGAGTGTACACAACTGGCTTGCGGATGTGTGCGCACGCGCACGCCCATATTAGCTGTATAGCTGTCGCGACGAGGATGGTGAGTTTCTGTTCTGTCCCTCTTTTTTTTTGGGTCTGCGGGGAGTGTGTGTGGTGGGAGATGACGGCCTGTGCAAGTGGCGAGTAGCGCGCGGTAAATGCGCGATTCATCTCCGGGACTTCGGCGTCGCGTCTGCCCACTCCGTTGTAGCCAATCGGGCACGGTGTCTCGCTGGAAGAGCCTGCGCCTCTGCGCGCCCGTGGAGCTGTGCTGATAGCGCGAACTTCCTCTTTGCCTCCGCCACTCAATATATCCGCTCGAAGTAAGTCGCATTAGTGTCACTTACCTTTACACCAGTTCCTGATCGTTCCCTTTGCCCCTGTCAGTTATTAATTCTGCTCACTTGCAAATACTCGGGCGGAGTGGGGCCGCTGCGCCTTCACTTTCTAAACTCAAGTAAGCCGGCCCGCGCTGGAACTAAGCCTAATGTAAGCCAGCGCGCGCTCGAACGAGGCCCAAAAACGCCGTCGATGTGAACCCCTTCGGCCTTGCACGCCGCACGTGTTTGGTCGGCGCGTCCCGTCCTCCTCGCCCACCCGCGCCCTAGGCCTTCATCTGATAAGCCCCGCAGACTTGCGAAGACTCGGATTTGCTTTCAATGGGATGGCGGGTTCGCAGCGAGTGCGGGTCCGAGCCCGCGGCGGCGTCGTGGCCTTCCACTTCCTCGCTGCGCCCCGCGTTCTCTTCGCCGGCTTGTCGTTGCATCGCAGGAACGCCGCGGAACAACGGCGTGTAGCCGACGCTGCATTGCGTCGCACTCACTCGGATGCGAGGTAAGTGAGATTTATGTATTCATTTCAACTCGATCCTGACTTGTCTAGCCGGCGCGCGTTTCAGCGGTGAGCTAGAGTTGGATTCCGGTAGGCACACATTGCAAGTACCTACTCTCGACCACGGATCTGGACTGGTGCACTGCCCCACTTGCTGCGTACTTGGTGTGTTTTCTCGCATGCGAGGGCCGAATCAAGCCGACTTGCGGCGCGATCTCGACAGTCAATTCATGACTGGTTGATTGACCGAACACGCTACGGTGCGGGCATGTACGACGCTGCAGCGCTTGCCCTCGATTCCCCCTCCTAGGTAATTGGTACAATGCGAATTGAGCCGCAAGGTCCGTGTTTCATTTTCACTCCGCACCTGCGTACTGACAGCCTCCCAATCCTGGTGCATCATTTGGGCTCGTTACCGCTCGATGCAAGTCTCGATTTCCGATTTCGGTCTTCGTCTGACAGGAGACTTCGAAGACTCGGATTTGCGTTCAATGGGATGGTGGGCTCACTGCGCGTCCAAGTCCGCGTCCGGGTCGTTGCATTCCACTTGAACGAAGGGACAGCTCCTAGCATCGCTTGAACGCCACCCATAACCGCCTCAGCGCTGTGTTGCCTCGGACTCACTCGGATGCGAGGTAGGGTTCATTCATTCATTCGAGTCTATTAGTCTTTGAGCCTAGACTGTAGCCGGCTCCTGTGAAAATGACACAGCTTACAGGTACATACGCGGCCTTGGAAGTGGACTCTGGTGTACGCCTTTCCTCGGTACGCACTGGTACATATCTCCCGGCGTTCGAGGGCCGAAGTAAGCCGACTTGCGGCGGGGTCTCAGCAGTTGATGAATGGAACCGAAGGGCAAGTACGATGATGTACTCTCTGCGCTCGATTCTCCTTCTAACTGACGCCGTTTTCAGAGAGAGGATGCGATAAAGGACGACGGGCGAAAGAAGAACGCGACGCGCTGAAGAACGCAGGCCCGCAGGCGGGAGAACGAGTAATGAAGGCAGGACGGATGCGATCAAGGTTAGACGGCAGCCCGGGCGAAGAACGAAACCAGGGGCGCGGAACGAAGGACGAAGGACGAAGGACGAAGGACGAAGAAGGCAGAACGAACGAGATAAAGGAAACAGAACGCAAGTATGGCCTCACGCCGAAAAGACAGAGCAAAGACCACGCACATGTACGGCTCCACCATCTCTGCCGCGCTCCGATCATCCACCATTGCCTTCTCGACTTGCCTTCTCGACCTCAAACCTGGCGCGCGCCAGCGCGTCCCCGAGCTCGCTGCTCGGCGCGCGCGCGACGGCGCCCTGCGCTTCGGCCGTTGCGAGCTTCCCCTCGAGCACCAGGGCGAGCGCGGCGAGCGCGCCGGACTCTTCGGCGAAGGACGCGGAGAGGGACGAGAGCCGCATTTTTGCGGATAGGTGCTGCGCCTCTGGGTCCGTGTGGGCGTCCTCGGTAGCAGGAGGAGAAGCAGCAGGCCCCCGCCCCTCGAGCCCCCCGCACCAACGCCGCGTACTCACGCACCACCTGATCGTTCAGCGCCGCCTCCGCCCTCGCCTCGCGGACCTCGAGCTTCAGCGCGCGTACGCGCAGCAGCCCCTCCTCCTCGCGCGCCTCGGAGAGCGCCAGCCCGTGTTCCGATAAAGCGGACTCGGTAAGCGAAAGCTTGGGGCTGAGGCGGCGGAGGGAGAGGGTGAGCTCTGCGACGGCGTCTTTGCCGCTTTCAGAGGAGGATGTGGGGAGGGAAGAGGGTGCACACGCAGGACGCTCAGCTCGGTGTTGAACAACGTGTTCTCCGCCTCGAGGTGTGCGTTGCGTGCGGACAGCGCCGAGGTGTCGAGCGCGCGGCGCTGGAGTTTTATCAATGCCGTGTGCGCTCCCATCCACGTCAGCATACCTGGCAGAATAGCAGAAAGCACGCGCCTGGAAACGAGCCGCCGTGGCGCTTAGACTGACGAGCTCCTCCATTAAGGGTGCGCAGCGCTGAGGCCGAGGGCGGCGATGGCCGACGCGGGCTGTTGTGGCATACTAGGTCAAGGTATTTGGAAGGAGCAGGCATGGCGTTCAATGGTCACGGTGGGCGTTGGTCATGTTTGGTCAGCGCACCGCCATCGGGCCCGATGCTTGTCCTTCGTCGTCAGTATCGTGGGGAGGCTGGGGTATTGATCTTGAAGCATCGTTTTCGAGAAATTGCCAGGATTTTCACCTGTAGAGCCCGTCAAAAACTATGTGCTTTATCAGTAAGACCCGGGCCCGAGTCGAACGGGCGAACTCTGGATAAACCAGATGCGGACCGTCCGCCACCGGATCTGTATTTACCTAACGAATATAATCACCGCTTGCGAACATTCTCGAGGAGAGAAAAATGAGTGACTCTCGAACTCCCAGATCTAGAGAGGACCAAAAATGACTACGTGATTTCCCAAGATCCAGGTCCGAGTCGAACCGGCAATCTCTGCGTACAGGGATCGAAGCGTACTACTGGAAGCAGATACGGACCGTCCGCTACCGGGTCTGTATCTAGATTGTATCATGAATTGATTTAGTCATTTGATAGCACCAGTGGCGAAAAAAAAAAGCATCCGTCAGAGTCACGACCCAGGGCCGAGTCGAACAGGCAAGCTCTGCTTGTATTATTGGTAATCAATCAATTGACGATATACTGGGAGCGGATGCGGACCGTCCGCCACCGAGTCCGCACCCCCCCCAATTGAAGCATGAATAAATGAGTTCATCTAAACAACCATCGATGAAATATCGATTGCACCCTGGCTAAATGCAAGTTTCCCCAGCATATCAAACCTTCTGAAAATACAACCAAACGATCAACCATCCAGACTCAGGACCTTGAAAAGGAACTTTCGTTAAGCGAGTGGTGAACTCGGAATGTGAGGCAGATGCGGGCCGTCTGCGTATCTCGAGTGCACCCTGGATAACTGAGTTCCTTACGTATTATGATTGGGCCTCCCTGCCAAACCCCAATAGATTGAGCCTTCCACATGTTGAAATAAAATGTTCAACCCTGGCGTAAAAACAAACACATTCCCATGATATGACCCAGGCCCGAGTCGAACAGGCGATTTCTGCATACAAGGCACAAGTCTTCTCGACAACTGGAGGCAGTTGCGGACCATCCGCTACTGGGTCTGTATTTGCCTTGATTGTATCCTGTTTAGATGGGTTCCTTTACACCCGGAACAGATGTGCCGTTCCCTCAATATGAGCGACTCCTCCTCAATATATGCATAACTTCTGGAGTAAGACCGGGCCCGAGTAGAACGGGTGAGTCTGCTAAGCAGTTCCTAGAGAGACAATTCCATATATTCTGAAATCTTGCGGCGGAAGTTACTTCAGCGCCCAGGCACCGTGAAAAAACTGGATCTTCCCCGTAGGACCCGGGCCCGAGTCGAACGGGCGAGCTCTGCATACGGAAATGGGAGGCCGAAGTAGTACCGGAAGCAGACGCGGACCGTCCGCTACCGAGTCGGTACTCACTTCGATGTGAGCCTGGATAACTGAGTTCCTCTAATATTACCTCCCCTTCAATATGAGTCTCATATTCAACTTTGTCCTTCTGCCAGTTAAACTCGTCACGTAAGGAGCTCAAGAGAAACAGACCGGCGTCAATGTGGGCGCTGATATTTATACGTGGATTTTAGACATCTTTACGGTGGAATTCGCTTCCGGCCCGGCACCTAGGGCAAAAACGATTCTTTTCTTACTCAAGACTCGGCCCCGAGTCAAACGTGGAACTCTGCGTAGGATAGGCTCTGGCTACAGCAATGCGCAGATGCGGACCCACCGCTACCGGGTCTGTATTCACCTCGATTGTGCCCACGGCATTTCTATGGATGACCCAGGCCCGAGTCGAAGGGGTGAGCTCCGCGTGCCTAAATGAAAGTTGTCACACTGAACGTAGAGGCGGACCGTCCGCTACCGGGTCTGTATTCACCTTTACCTTCATCGCACCATGGATAAATGAGTTCTGTTTCAAAGTCCTGAGGCCTGAGGGATGAACCGTGATTCAACAAGAAAATTATTACCGCTTGCGAAAAATGATGACCTTCATCGAGAAGAGAGTAAATTTCAAACTTCCAGATCTAGGTACGCTAAGACCCAACAAAAAAGGCCGAGACCCAATTCAACAAGACCCAGGCGTGAATCGAACGGGCAATCTCTGCATACAACCTCAACACGTCTTGATAACTGGAGGCAGATGCGGACCGTCCGCTACCGAGTCTTTATTCACCTCCATTGCACCCTGGGTAAATGGAAGTTTCCGCAGAATATCAACTTTCCGAAAATCAAACGAACGCAAATAACCCATCTAGATGGGCAACGAGATTTTGCCGCTGCATTGACTTTGCCGCATGCAGCGGCAATCTTAGTGGCAGTGAAGGGAAATCTCATTTGGGGCACATGTTGAACTCCTGCCCAACGGCCTCCTCAGCTTTCTTTTGTCTGTAGTTATATACTAAGTCGTCCCAAACGTCGTTAGGCACCCCGTTAAGTCCTCATCGCCGGCGCTGTGAGTGTCGGAGACACGAAATATAATTCCTTGCATCGGCAGTCCGCGTCAATCAGCGGAAGTCTGCGGCATTTTGCAGCGGCAGTTTGACGTCAGTCTACGGTACTCCTGCCTCATGTCTGCGTCAGTCTCTTGCTGAGGGTTGTGATCGACACAACATCAAACAACATTTTCCCGGATTTCCTGATGTGAATGATCTCATTCTTCTCGGTGTTGAGCATCCGGGCCTGATATGGGTCATCCTCAAAGCTGATCCTGAACGTGAAGAGTGACACCGAGTTTGGGCCACAATCGAAGAAATGACTAACCGGCCAAATGTACCGCGGCTTCGATTTCGTATCTGTATCTCGGGCGCCGTGCTACCTGTCACTGGAGGAGATCAGCCAATAGACTACGGCTAGTTTAATAATTGAACACTAGCTGACGCTGCATCCGACGCTCCAGTAACAAGCGATGACTCTCATATTCTGGGACAGATATTTGGATCCGTCTCGTGTGTATCAATTGTGAGTAGCGGTCGAATTGAGGTTGGAACCAGAAGATCTGGCCACTGATCGTGCTGGTGGCGCACACTAACTACAGCGGTGAATTTGCTGAGCAATCACCACGGTCTCCGGGTCTGGCAGGTATCTCGTTCCACGTGTGTCGTTCGATTCCGAACATCTCATGTACACCGAACATTCATTCGACCGCTTGAAGACCGGTGTTAAGAATTTCCGGTTTGGAGTCTTACCGTCTACGGGAGGGGTGAATCCGAAACCTTGGAGTAAAGTGACAGGTACAACGAATGATACGAGTCATCTTATTCTGAAGTTCACGACCAGACCGAACTTCCCTTGGACAGATCCCTTGAGTTCCGAGAGTCTCTTTGACGCTTTTAGTGTCTTGCCCATCAAAGATGGATTTTGAGCCGAGACGCGGCATCTTTCCAAAGAGCATTCGATTTTCTTACACAAGACACGAACTGCGTTCAAGGCCCGGATAGCCGAACGACCGCCTTCCCGGATCTAGCCGGACAGGTGCGACTAATCACGTTAGTCAGGATGGGACTAGGTCTGGCGAGGCGGCTCCGCGTAGCTCTGCAGCTCCGCAGACGTGGCCACAGGCACACATATCTCCATACACTTGGGCCTGTTGATATATGTCGATCCCTGCCTACATCGCCCTCCCGCCCCTTGGGCTGCTTCCTGCATAGTGCCAACCCTCAAATATGAATCAATTATGATAAAAATCACATAGAAAACACGCCGAAAATTTAAGTCATCGTGAATCTTACGAGAACACAACACCGGATAATTCTCTTTGACACCCCCCGGTGCCACAGTACCCCGGGTACCATGTAGAACTTGTCTATTTGGCACCCCGTCAGAATTGATAAGATCACTGTTAGATAAGACGGTCCCAACGCTTTGGCCACCTTTTGCGCTGCAGTTTGAACTCAAAAGCAAGTAGCATTCAGTTGGAAAACGCTGGATCTGTTTATATTTGCACTGAGGTCCACTCTCTAAGTTTCACGCATTTTTCTGGCCTTGGACTGAGATTTTCCAGGTCCTTGATGAGAAAAAAGTCCAAGTTCATCGAATTTCACGTCGAGTCTGGAGTGAATTCTTCTCCGAAAACTCACAGCAGTAGCCCCATACTCCCTGCTGACTTATCTATGTTTTCGAATTTATCTACTAGGCAGGGAGCGCATCCTGCCACATCCCGCCCCGCCCGCCATCAGCCGCTATCAGATCCTGCTTATAAATCATCGACTTTTATTTGGCACCCAACGTGCTTTTGGCACGGGGGTGCAGAATTATTTGACTACGATGCGAGGCGGAATTTGGCGAGGGAGTGCGCTAGGCAGAGGGTGGCGAGCGCGACAGTCTGCGGCAGGTGAGCTCCACACGGCTTAGCAGCGCTTAGCACCTTGCTGGCGCTCCACGGTAGACCGGAGGAGGAGGAGGTAAATTATACTGACGCGGTCCCACAACTGGAACCCCCAGTTTTGACCGTTCTGTCTACGAGACACAAGTGCCGGTAGACAGATCGGTTAGTAATTATCGGTCTCGGACTGTGGCTGGATTGCCGTGGCTAGGCAACGTGCCGAAGCTAGCTGAAGCTTCGCTAGTGATCGGCAGACGTTGTCAGCGGCAGATGCTCCAAGGGGCCTCGGCTATCAGGGCGCTGAACGCGATAGAACGGCAGTTCCCGCCGCGACCCGGAACTTCTAGATCACCGTGCGGGGCATACAAAACTCCGACGACAGATCTCATTTACGGTGATTGTTATCCTAGGTGCTGTGCTTTATTGCCACCTCCACACTCGCCCTGATCTTTCTCAGACAGATCATATGGTGAGTGAGCAGTGTTCTTAGGCTAGCCGGCCCTCGGATAGCTCCTGCACCATTTGTATTTCTATGAGTGTATGTGCCGACTTTCCGGGTGCATGAACAGATTTGGAACGAACGGCACAACTATAAAGACGTGTTGGCAGCCATTCGCCCCTCATTCAACTCCATGATGTCTAGTGCACCCGCTCTCGATACGCCACCCGCCCAGCCCATTCACGACGGTACGGGACTCCCTAATTATCAATTTGATTAATTTTAACGCAGGCCTCCACAGAGGATGTAAAGACGGCGCCTAATCCTGCCAGTACGTGGCTTCACTTTCATATACATACATAACACTCCACTCATCATCTCAACCAACTCGTAGAGAAAGTAATTTTGTTCGAGTCCGGAGAGCACGTACGTGGACTTCAAAACCATGAAGCTATTACTACTACTCACTCCGACTGGACAGGAGGACATCGGGGATAAAGTCATGTTACAGTTTGACGGCGGCAAAACAGTGTCTGGGAAGGATTTTGCTTATCCGGCTGGTGCGCAAGGAGAACACCCACTGTCGTATGGTCTTGTCGTGGCGCTCGCGGGTGATTTCTACGGCAAGGTCAAGGCCACCCCTGGAGATCGCGAGCAGCTCAGCGACAGATGGGATACGGATAGAGAGAGCAGTATTGTGCTCGCATTCAAACTCGCCAAGAGTCTCTCAACCGACAAGAAGGGGTATCTAGTCCGGGTTTTGAAGACGATGGCGGAAGAGCGGACGCAGGTCCTCGCTGGCATTGCAAAAGGTCAGGACGTGGCACAGGCGAGGCATATTTCACATTCGCTCCTTGGTCGTGGGCTAAATTCAACCTACGTTAGATCTTCCGTAATATCGCCGTCTCTTACGACAAGCAGTACACTTGGGACACTAGGGGAGCCTATGCGCTCATCGCGCTATGCAACTGGGATCATTTTGGAGAGGTCAGGCGGTGTCTCATCCTATCGACATCCACTATATGATTGTGCAATAGGATGCGTATAAAGCCTATTCGGCCGTGCACAGCGCAGCGCTCAGAAAGGCCACGGAGGCGTACAGCCACCCAGAACATGCGGAGGATCTCCTCCGCGAGGCGTATTTCCTCGAGGCCTATGCGCAGCATTTTCTGACAGATCTGTTCTCCGCTGGGCATTTGCGTACCCCACGAAGAGCACTTCACCGGAATTTTTTTGGCGACTCGGGCGACGAAGATGAAGCACCGTCAATCATTGATAGGATGTATGCCGAGGATCGGTGCGCGCAAAAGATGCACGACGAGGATTGTGCGAATGGTCTTTGGGTTAGGAACGCGCGAGGGGACCAGTGGGTGGTGTACGGAGACAAGCAGCTGTGGAGTGGGAAATCGTGCCAAAACTTTATGATGGCGGTCAATGCATGCCAAGCCGGTGTAGATGAGGTCTGGCGAGCGCGGCAAAGCGGAAATCCGCCCATACCGGCCGACTTTGAAGGATTGAAATGGGTTAGTTGATCTCTCTTCTCGTCACCATTGGCTAACGAATTCGAAACAGACCCCACAAGTGACCGCGGACGCAATAGATCCCTTCAATTTCAGTCCTATGTTCCGGATCACCCCCGATTCTAAACTT